TGGGCTTTTGGTGAACATTTATGCGATAAGATGGATCTTCTTAAAGCAAGTGATTTTGGTGATGGCAAGGAATATTGAACAACGAGAGAAGAAGTTTTATCATTTTTTTTTTTCGCATTTATACTATGTTTGTTTAATTCCTTCACGGAAGAAAACGAAGGAAAGATAATAAAATTAATATATTTTAAAAAAATTATGCAGGACAGCAATAATGTAGAACTTTACGCACACTTTGTTTGGTTTGCTAAAAAGTATTAGATGCTGGTTTGTTCAAAAACTTAATGCTCTTCGATGATGGATGTTTGGGTCATTTACGTCATAATAATTGGCTGTGAGCTTCCCCCTTTAACTTTTCCTAAATTATTATCTGTACATTAACAAAACTAATAACAACAAAATTAATAAAAATTAACAAAATTAATAAAAATAATGACAACGATGATAATAAAGAAAACAACGCAATTATAATAATAATGAAAAATTATAATGTAATATAAAATAACATATAACACATGGAGCTGATAAAACATATAAAGGACATGTATAAATATATGTAGGACTTGAAGGAGATGTGGAAAGAATTATTAAAACTCCCATCGTTATATCATGTGCGCGAGTAGTGGCAAAGACTGCAATTAAAGGCCTAACGTACTTAGAAATATATAGTTTACTGCTGAAGGCTGAGGTGCTGCTCTCCTCAACGAGCTTGCCACAAATAAATGCAATTGCTAATGGAAAGTACTGAGCCCAAGTCCTTGGTAAACACCCGATGTGCAATGAGTGAATTTCCACCTTTGAGCTGAGTAAGGTGGAACTGAGTCCAACTACCTTGTGTAGTACACCCGAGAACGGCTCGGAATTCATAGTTTTAAGCTGAGCATCGTAAAAATACAAAATAATAATAAGAGTAATAATCATGGTAATAACAATATATATACTTTGGATTATATAATTCTGTGTAAGGAAGAGATAATAAATTGATTAAAAAGGGAGTATACAACAAAGAAAATAATAGTAATAATACAATGATTAAAATAGATAGTAACAATAATAATAATAATATTTTTTTTTGTTTTTTTTTTTTTTATAAAGAAATTGTCTGTATTTGATCGCCCACTGTAGAGGGTATACTCAGTATCATAATTTGCACAACAAAGGCGGCGAAACAATCTTTTGTTTACGATGCAAAACAAAGCTATCCTACTGAGAATTTGTGGTTTTCACGTAATCCAAAAACTAAAACATTATGTGAATGATAGAAATTTTCACTAGTCTAACACAGCTCACACACATCCCAATTTGCATTTTCCTCACTCTTTGTTTGATAGGATGCAAAACATCTATGAATGCAAAATTATGCAATTGTGAAAAAAAAAGAAACCGTAAATCATCTCATTTAATCGAAAATGTATCACCTTTTGAAGTTTGTTGCTTTTCGTCAAAAAAAAAACCGAAATTACTTTGCGGCGAACCTTGGAAAATCTTCACAATATTTCAATAGAACTTGACAATGCTTTAAGTATAAATTAAATACAAATATTATCACAAATTGTCTAAAACCCACAAACTCAAAAATGTATACATTTACACTTGAAGAACATACGCATTTATATATAATATATACAAAATATACGAGGAGTAACTAAGTTTGTAATTCATTGTCTGAGTCAAAGCACAGATCACTTCGCTTGGTATTGCGAGTGAAACCTTTTATTTGTTCAAATTTTATCAAAGTCAAAAACATGCATGAGAGACACACACTTCTGAAAGCAGTCGTATTAAACAATACAAATAGTACAAAATTTACTAACACACATATACGCCCAAAGATATACATTTATAGATAGTTTTTATTATTTACTTAGTATACAGGATTTATATATGAAAATCATGCAGGTTTCTCTCTTACTATCTCCAATATTTGTTTACTCTATCATATATATATATATATATTTTAACTTTCTTTACAACAACAAAATTCATAAATAAGAACAAGAACAATAACAGGTTTTAAATGTTATTTTCTTAAATGATTTCATTTCTGGTGCCTAGTTTTTGAAGTAGATATGCGCATTTGTAAATATATATATAACGTTTCTCTTAACACATAATAGTGCATAGAGTGCGTAGTGCAGGAAATTTCTGTTTTAATCTAACTTGACACACATTTATACAAAATTGCTTACTATATATATACATATATATATATATGTATATATATATGTAAATATTTGTACCGTATATATCCGTATACACTTCATGTTATTTTCTTCAAATTGTTTACACACATATGCATCCATAAACTTAAACTTGGTCGATATCAATGATGTGCGTAAATCTATTTATTTCGGTTTGCATTTCGACCACAAAACTTAATTTACTAGATAATCACCAACAATCATAGAAACAGCAATAACGAAAACCCAACAATAACAAATACTTTACAATTAGTTAACCTAGTTTTCAATGTAAACATAATTTGAAATATAATGGATCAAAACTAACACTTTGGTGACCAAGCAGTTGCTACCAAGCAAGCAAGCAAGCAAGCAAGCAAGTAAGCAACTAACTCCTTTAATAAAATATATAAATAAATAAGAAAGATATCAGAGTACATCTATAATGCTTGTCTTTAGAAACCAGAAAATGTTGGCAAAGTAATGGAAAAACTTCTGCACAAACTCTTCGGAGATCTTAAATTCAAATACACATTCGACTGTTTGCGCCTAACCTCTCTCTCATGAACCTACGAAAATATTAAATTAAGCAACAGGGCAGGGCAGGACAAACGGGTGGAGGAGAAGTTTTCTATGCGAAAACCTCTAATGTATAGAAGTTTAAACAAATTTCGTAAACAAGAAACACTAGAGAAAGTTATTAAATCAATATGTATACGATATTAAATTAACTTTAGACTTGCATTAGGATCGCTGTTAAGTGAGAGATAAGTTTTGTGCAGTCTATCAAATTAAACGGAAAATATGAGATAAAGACGAGGGGTTGCGATTACCGCACATGTTAAACTCTTCACTCTTCCGGGACGCCATTTATCGATGTAGTGCTCATTTCGTAGAAGTAAAGTAAAGTGTTTGATTAAAAAAAAAAAAAAAAATACAAAAAATTAAAGAACAATTTCTGCATTTTAACCGATTTGTAAAGAAGCACGTTTCATCATCTTTTATTTCCTAGTTAAAGAAACCTTGAGTTTAATTTAATTTTTTTTATTTTTAGTTTTCCGTTTATCACATTACAACGGAGCAGATGGGTGAGAGATATTGTTTTCTTTGTAATTCAGGCAATTTCATCTGTTTTAGTTAACATGAGTTGAATTTTAATATATTTTGCAAAAATTTATTGAGATTTAAAACAAATAGTCATCGCATTAAAACAGAAATCTAATATTCCGACATACGAGGTGGGTTCAAAAAAAAAAAGAAAGTTGACTTGGACTTAGTAGTAAATAGTTATCGCGTTAAAACAGAAATCTAATATTGCGATACACGAGGTGGGTTCAAAAAAAACAAAAAGTTGACATAGACCAAGTAGTAAATAGTCATTGAACTGAAATAGATATCTAATGTTCCGATGTACGAGACGGGTTCAAAAGGAAGAAAAGGTTGACTAGGACTTAATAGTGAATAGTCATCGCGTTAAAACAGAAATCTAATATTTCGACATACGAGGTGGGTTCAAAAAAAAAAAGAAAGTTGACTTGGACTTAGTAGTAAATAATCATTGAATAGAATAGAATATTCCGAAATACGAGATGGGTTCAAAAACAGAAAAAGTCGAATTAATAGTGTCCAAGTTTAAGAAAGGGCTTTATAAAGCTACAGTATACATTTGCAACGAATAATGTATCGTCGCTAGCGGTTTCATAAAAACCGCTTAATATCTTTGATGTTTGAAAATTGTAGTTTTTTTTATTGTTTATTGGTTTTATTTTCGATTTTGCACCAAATTTGCAATAGTCGCAACAAAATTCTCCAAGCTTTGTTATAAGCCAAGGTTATTAAGACACAGAAATCGTTTCACAAAAACAATGCGTGGGACTTGTGGCATGCTTAGGCTCGGAGGTTGTAAAAGTTAGAGAGCTGGAACTTTTCACATTTACTTTGCGAAATACTTTACTTATTACGTGAAAAAAATGGAAAAAATCGGCCATGCCCACACAAGATTATAAGTGAATAAATTTTATTTTTTTCACTTTTTTGAGGTTTTATGCTTATTTGTCATAAGGTACAACGCAATGAAACTATTCGGTACATTCCTCTTACGAAGCTGTATTATCTGCGTAAAAATTGGTTAATTCTGATGAATGCATATGATGGACACCGCGACCTGATGGATTATATTTTTATTTAATATCATCAGCGATCTGAGTGCCAAATAAGAGGAGTACAATGTGGAGAGTGCAATGCGAATGGCATAGTGTTGGGTGTGCGAGATTCGGCCACCGGCAATTATAAATTACTTACTTGTTATTATTAATTTGGGCAGAGAAATGAATTCTAAGACTAAAGTCTTAAATTATTTGCATCTAAGACTATCGGCTTATGGAAATAACAAACAAAACTAACAAACAATGAAAATTTGAAAACACAACTTATAAAATGTCTGTGGGAAATTTTTTAATAATATTTTTAAAAGACTTGAAACATAAATGCTCACTGCTGCGTCTGCTTCATATGGCTGCAGTCAATGAAAATGCTTTACGATTGTTCAGCCGGTGAATATGCTAGAGAAGTTGTAAGGCGAATATGGTTTACTTATTTGTTTCGATATTCAAATATTTTACAAATGTATTCTCAACGAGCGTAATGGACCAATTTAAATCAAAATAAAATGATATGAAAGTCAAAATTAATGGAAATTAAATACTTTATAATAGATTTTCCGAAACTTCTAGTATTCATCAGTATTAATTTACTCTTTTTTTTTTTTGTTTTTCTTTTTTGTTTCTTCTTTGTTTTCACTCTCATTTTTATTTGTAAACATAGGTGAACGCTTCATACCGGAAACGTATGAGAATGGATATAAAATAACAATGCGTTTGACCATAAACGAGGTGGAAGTACATGATTTCGGTTCATATCGTTGTGTGGCAAAGAATTCTCTCGGCGATACCGATGGTACAATTAAATTATATCGTAAGTAAAGTTGACTCTCTGTACACTTTATATAGACGTATATATATGTTATTGTTGTTATTGTCAATGATAAACATTTATCAGTTTGTGTGCGTATAGTTAATTAAAAACATACATATATGGAAGGGTAAGAAAGAAATGTATAACAATATAAATTGACATGAGGAGATAATTGGCACTGATGCATATGTCCACATGTCTGTTTGCGAAAGGAATGGATTTATGGACACAAAGTCACAGAGACAGAACAAAGATTAAATAACAGAGGAAGAGAGGAAGTTGGTAATAAGATAAAGTCGGATAAAACAATGCAGAAGCCACAAAGCGTTAAAATCAATCAATGAAATTTAATTTAATTAAAAAAAAAAAAAAAAAAAAAAACAAATAACTTATCAGATAAAAGCGAAAAAGATTGTTATTAACAATCTATAGTCGAGAAGAGGCTGACCGCATAAAATAACAAGGATCAAGACATTGCTTTTACACTTACACTTATATTAAAATACATTATTCAAATCATTAATATCAATAAAAGTAAAGCGTGATGCAGAAGAATTCCTTCGTGTCTGCTTTGAACACATAATTAAATTTCATTCTTGACTTTTTATAGCTAAAGTTAATATCGTTGCATTTATAATAACTTGATTTCGTGCTGCCGGCTCTCTCATGGTGCCGCTCTTCTTCATCTTCATGTATACGCTTTGAAATCTTTTGTTGGCATCGTCAGTGATTGATTTAATTTCCTGCCTATAAAAGCATCTCATGTTTGTAACATCCTGACACAATATTTAATTATTCATTATAATTTCATTGTAGTGTATATCCTGAGACATGCACAAAATAAAAGTCCAACCATTCATTCATTCGTACGCAACATGACACACAAGCTTAATATTTCTGAAAGAAAACACTGATATAAACGCAGAAACTTATACGCACACATGAACACAAACACGTTTTACTCAAGTAGAAGTTTAAACGTCAGACTATTGTGTTTACATGAGCATAATAATAAATATGTAAAAAATTATATATTTTATATATATTTTATATATATATTGTATATATATATATATATTTATTATATATACCATGTATACATATATATACATACTTGTTGTGTACTTGTTGTCGTTATTGTTGTTATTGCTGTTGTTGTTGTTGTTGTTGTTGTGCTGAAAAAACATTGAATCAATTAAAGCTAAAGTATGTATACCAATCTGTAACCACCCACATATACAACAAAAAGCAAAAAAAAAAAAACACCAACCAAGATGAAATATTGTGGTTGTAAGTGTTACTATTGTTGCATAGCTGTTCCTATTGTTGTTGCTGTTTTATTGAACGAGAATACAATGCTTTCATAAACATATATTAAGAGTGCCCTTATATGTGTTAATTTTGTCATTTGTTATGTATGGAAAATTACTAACACTAACTGAAATTTTGTTTACACTTTGCTCAGAGTGAATTAATATAGATTTCTTCGTAACACAACACAAAATGGAGGAAAAAGAGAAAGATTAATTTAAACCTGTCGTATGGCATGTCTCCAAAGGTCGAAGTAAATAGATATAAATAAATGGTCAGAGGAGCAGAGGTTAATAATTTCATGCCATATGTTGTTTGTTGGATTCTTATCTTAACGAACTTGTTTCGAAATTATATCTTTCCTTTAGCAATTTGCATGAAATTAATTTTTGATATAATATTAAAGTTGCCACATACATCTACATGCATTATTGATTGAGTTTGCATTGGAAAACCAATAACTAGCATATGTGATGAATTGATGAGTTGTCGTACGCTTTTTCCTTCACTCCCTTGGAGAATGTCAACTATTTTAGAAGAAGGAAATACACTATACACTATGTCTTGGAACACCAAACGATTTGACTTTGTCATCGTCTATCTGGTATTCAAGCGCCCTCGGTTTGTCAGTTCTCGCAAATTTACTTCTAAAATATCCTGCAGACTATATGCAGCGACATCCGGTTCGCGCGTTACCGATAAATTTGCTTGATATGCTTACATCAATTTGAACTTTTCTGTTTGGTTTTCTGTTGATTGTTTCTTGATATTCAAAGCATCCTTAACATCCTATCCCAGTTGTGGTGCATACTTTAAATTTGGGCGGTTATATGCAGTGATCATCATTCTCAGAAATTTATTCTAAGTCGATTTGAGTCTGCATGTCCTTCTGACCTTCTCATTTTCTTGTATTCAACTGCCGCAATATTTTGGATATGAAATTTGATGCAGTGACGTACTTTGGCCCAAGGTCGCACGCTATTGGATATGCTTTGGATCGAGTCACCATTTTGATGACTTCCCAGATAAGACCTTATTTCGAGAATTTCTTATATGAATCTCTTAGAATCGTGTAGGGTATTTAATGGTGGACCGTGGCTAACCATAGAGTCGGATTGTCTTTAAAATGAATGAATTGGAATATATAAAATTGAAAAAAAAGCTAAAGTGATATCGATTTTTATTTTTTCATTTTTTTGCAGCTAAAAAGCCATCTGCGGATATAAGCAGTTTGCGATATATATATAAAAAAAGGATACGAATGCCAAAGTGTATTGTTGTTTTGGGGGAGACTTTAGTACAAAGATCTTGTAGAACACAGTTCGATGAGGTGGAAAAAGTTTACTTGCAAACGAGAATTTTTTTAAACAATGGATTATTACAACTATCTCTGAAGAGTAAGGACTTGTTTGCTATAACACTTGCTGCATTAGAAAGCATTGAATAGATTTTGACATGGCCGTCTTTCTCTTAACTCGTCCACCACTAATTGCATTTGAAGTCATGCGACGCTCTCAAAAACTGAAATGTCAATCATACAATCGATGGCTACCATCAAGATTTCAAAACGCTTTTAATCACCTTACAGATGCACCCAAAGCAGGAAAAGGAAACTGTGCTCTAAAATTTCACATGAATACATGCAAAGTCTGTCTTAGAGGGGAGCAAAAATATAGTATAATGGCCCATCGTCAACTAACAAAATCAGAAATTATTTTGAAAACTTCCTCTACTTTTTATTATTTTCATGTCTTCATATTCACCTATACTATGCGTATCATCTAAATAATAATAAATATGTAAATGTTCCTATGCCCAAAATCTGAAATCCATGAAAGTTCTTTAGTTTGAAGTTTTAAACCAATATTCCATCTTCAAAGGGTCACCTTTTTAAGTACAGCCCGCCTTTTTGAGCTTTATCCGCATGCGACAATGCAACATATATACAAAAAACATGTCGATAATTATTTATTATATGAAAAGGGCAGCAGAGTCTACCGATACTTAAATATATATGGACTTTCGTTCCTCGTTTTACGAGTTCCATACACCGGGTCGTAGTAACAGGTGGCCAGGTACACCTAGTATTGCATTTAATTTATATATGTTTATATACTAGGTCCAAGTCGTGGAAATTCCTTAGCTCTATCTTTTATGCTTATCAACGGAACATTCTGATTTCACCAAAAGTTAGCATTAAACAGAGAGCATTTAACCAAAATCGTTTAAAAATTAACGTTTAAAAATTTTACAATTTTACTCACACTACTGAAACAAACAAGTACATGTACAAGTAATTTCTATACGACGACCGTTAACCGAAATCGATGCTTTCTTTCAAATTCATTATCTAGAAATGCAAAGAGCGGAAAAAATTAATTGAAAATACATATCAGTGATATGTCGGGATTGTAACATATTACGGTCACGATGTTGCACTACGAAGTTGTTTGCACGTGATACAGTTGGCGTTTTATGCGATTGGGCTTTCTGCTCGACTCAGGGAACTGCCGGATTATAAGAGAATTGCGCGTTCGTCACGCATTAAAAAGCCGTCTTCATCACTTTGAGCAATCTGCACTTTTGTCCAACCGCCGTATGCCTTTGCATTAATTATCAATCGTCTATCATGAAAAAGGGAGATATGATGTAAAGTTTACCTTGCATAAGTTAAACAAATTTCTTTCTCTCTCTCTCTCTCTCTCTTCGTTGACCAGGAATGTTTAATAAGCCAGTGGGCAGAATCCATCTGTACGCGTGTTTAAAGTGACTGAAGGGACTATGAACGCATATGTGTCCTTCGTTTTATGTTGCTTAGTTTTATGGTAGAGAGCAATCCATGCTTTGAAGATATATCGTATTAATTTTTTTTTTATATTATAATTTGTTGTTGCATCTGTTTACTTATTTATTTCTAATTATGCTTCTGATTTCTTTTTAATTCTTTTCCTACTTAATAGGAATTAAATATTTGCTCAATTTGGTTTCGAATTGTTTTGTAAGTTTTTAAAACAAAAACTTTTTTTTGTTTTTTTTTTTTTCTTTTAAATTTCAGATATACCACAAACGACAACTGTCACCACTTTGGCACCCACAGTATCAACAACAACAGCACCTATGTCTCAGCAAAAGTACCATAAAGGTATGCACACATTAGTCTATATCTTATAAGCATATCGATGCATATATATATTCTCAGATATGTACATATGTTTTTTCTCTTTGAACGTCTCTGTTCACATATATTTTACATATATATATATATACGTATAAGCATCTATGTACATATGTCGTTATTGTTGTGGAATTTTTCAAATTATGTAAATTTACTGTAATGACAAAAACTAATTCCATAAATTTTTCAATGCACACAGAACAACGTTACAATTTTCAACAAAATAATAAAAATAACCAAAATAATAATAATAATAATAACAACAACAACAACAGCAACTACAATCACAAATTGCAACGTACAAAATCAAGAATGGAATTACCGCAACAACAACAACAGCATCAACTTCATCAAGCAATCCAACAACAAACTGCCATGAATAATGTATACGTGGGTGCAACATCGAGCTTATGGAATACACAACAACAACAGGATCATTACGTACTAAGAGAACAACATTACAATCGGCAAGGTAAGCTTAGCAGTAAACGTAAGTACAACAAGCAAAGAGGTAAAGTAGCAAACACAATCACTAACACTATAACAACACATATAACGCCATCGACGCAAGCAACACAACGTAAACATAACAATGAATCCTATTTGTTAGAACCGTAAAATATCTATGCACACAGGCGCACCCATACTCTCATATGAGAAATGTATCGTAATGTATTGAATCATACACAAGTAGTAAATTCGAAGCATTTACTAGTAAAGCAAAAAGAAAAAAAAAAAAGAAGAAAAGCAAGCAAAGGGAAAAAGCAAAACAAACTCGCATATACAAGATGCTAACCTATCTTCTTATGTCTTGTAAATTGTAATAAGTTGTACGGTAAGGGTTTAAAGAATTCCAAGCAAATAAATTTTTATTTAGTTATTTTTCCCTTCACTTGTTCTATATCGTTATGCGTAATAAATTTTAGAAAAATCACGTAGAAAAATTCCATAAAAAAAAAATTTTTTTTTGCAAATTTGTTTTTTTTTTTCTTTGTTTTTTTTTTTTTAAATTCAATGGAAACCGAACGCTATTCTTTGCATTGCCTATCTTTCTTCCGTTTATAAAATTTACAGATTTTAAGGATTTCTTTTCGTCTCACTGTTACTGCTTATAAGAAGAGTTTAAAGGAAATCCATACCAATCTTTGTGAATTGTCGGTATTCACTTTGTTTTCGAAGCACGGCAGCATATAAATCTAAGCGTTTCAGAAGCATTAAAGTGTCACTTCCCTGAAGTAACACCGGGTACTGCATGGCTTTGTTGATTGTGCTTTTTTTTTTTGTCGCTCTTCTCTAATCACACTTCCTATTGCTTATCGGTCCATCTGTTCGCCGTTATTTCTATTGTACTTCGCTTGCTTGCAGTGGGTTGAGCAAATTTTGTTCTCATTTTGCATAGAAATTCATTCATCTTTTCTTCTTTTCTCAAAGCAAATGAATTTATTGCATATAAAATATCATGATTTTGTTACTGAGAAATTTGTCTTGGTGCTTAAAGTTATAAAATTTTCTTAGTTATTTAGTATAAAAAGAATTTTTTGCAAGGAGCTAAGGTAAAACTTGAAATTCACCCCCCATTTTAGTCCAAAAAGAGATAGCTTTAAGAATAGATATAAGTATGTAAATAAAAGGATTCTGTCTACCAGCAACGAGAAATTTAACGACAACACAACAATTGACATGGAAACACAATGGACGCTTGAGAATAAAGATCGTGTGACTTTCATAAAAATGAATAGGAAGAGAAAACTTGCTATCAGCAAAAAAACAAAAAAAAAAAACGTAAGCCCGGTATATTCAGTGATCGCATTACACAGGCGTTCGAAGTGCATCGGTACTTTGCCAATCATTAGTTTAGTTTAGTTTCTCGGTTTTAGGTTTCCTTATGCAAAGTCCTTAGCATGTTTCTCGCAAGCAAGTTCTCTACATTTTGAAAAAAGTTAAAAATTATTTATAATAGAACATGGCTTGCTCTAGTGCTTAATGAATGAAATATTTACCAATGGCCCCTTTGGCGTTTACCGGGCACCTTACAGATGCCTTCCGCAGTAGAAAATTGCATAGTTTATTCCGCTACCCAGGCCCCGCTATGTGGACTCTCTAGTTTAAGTGTCGCAGAATGTTGTTGGTATCATAAAATCTTTGAGTTAGAGTACATAGGGTCATTAAATAAATTTTTTCATTTTTTTTATTTATTAGTTTGTAGCAAGAACAAAAGGGTAAAAGAGATCAACATGAATTTGTTGTTTCTTTAGATTAGATTGGTTCATGTCATTTTTATATAAAAATGAATTCAATTCTCGAACACCAGGAACACCTCTTTTTACCACATTTTCATGTAAATCTGCTCTTATCTCACCAGTAATGTTCATGGGTAAGGTCATTGAGAGTTCACGGTTTATTGAAGTTATGTCGCATAATATTTGCGGCGAGTTTTCATAGGCATTTCTGGGGATTACATCATCGCTGAAGTTGTCTGGTGATAATTTCATACTAGCACGTAATGTATGGAATGATACAACATTTTATTAAAAACCCATATACCGCAAGTCAAAATCATTTACAGCGAGTCACAAAAAATCACTAATCATGTTGCAGTAGCACCCTTTAGGATTACTTCAATGACCTTTCCATGTTAAAAAATGACACTTTCAATTCTAAAACCATACCCAAAAGTTATGTTTCGTACACGCACAGGTCTTTTGGAGAACATCGGATGGCTTCTTTACACCAAATGAGCAGTAATCCTAATTTACGGAGTCAATATGAGTTTCATGTCACATGCATGGGACGTAATCGAGGATTCACTGTTTTCATAATAAATTTTAACAATTTCTATACCCTTTACAACTTTGCATATATTGCCTTCAACAAATGATGTATTGATGTAAACCCCGGTCATAAGTGTCCTTCGGAATAGCAAAACGGATTACCCATGTATATATCCCGATATGATTTCTTTTTATCATAGGGAGAAGGAAAGTTTATGCAAATTTTTGTTGTTGCCGTTCATATTTATTATATTATAATATTTCTTCAGACTTCCAGTTACACATTAGGTGATCTGTACACCAAGCTAACAGGAATGATAGCTGAAAGTGTGCTATCTCGTCATGATTGCTGGTGTTATATCACAAATCCATAAGCTTGATTGCATACGCGACCGTCTGATCCACAACAGAAAGAAATTCTTTGCAATTATGTTAACTAACACCGAAAACCTACTCTTTGCGGGCATCAAGAGAAAAACGTGAAACAAATGTTTCTTATTAGCATTGCTTACGAGAAATTGGAAAAGTTTCTTTCACTACTATCAACTACATTTAGCACGATTTTTTATGTTATCTGGTGGCAGCCTCATTTCGTGACTAATTATCTAATAACTGTCTGATATAAGAAAGAATTTCTATGAAAGAAAAGAAGATATTTTTCGAAATTCTCTCGGATACAAACGTATGATGTTCACTTTTAATATGGATAACATTCATACGTTTTTCGTATACAAATAGACAGGAAAGCTTTGTCACAGTTATTGTTACTGTTATTGTTTAGGAAAATGAAAGAAGAAATGCCCTGAGACAGTGAAATTCCCAACAGTTATCTCCTGTTCGTCATGTACGCACAGCTTTAACAGCAATGATGACGTTTGCGGTATTTCGTCTGGCCACGTGCTCGATAGCAATTGTTTTTTGCAATGGAAACGAATTTTACCGTTCTGCCTGTAGTTGCGCGAAAGCAGCCTCGAAAATATGCAAAAAAAAAAATCCACTTAACTTTTGAGGATAATATTAAGGATGGAATGGTTTTGATTGGCAAGCAAAGTGGAGACTTTTGAAATGAGGAATATAGGGAAAAATGTTTTACCGGACGCAAGGATTAAAAACTTGTGAAAGGGTGAACGATGACTTCCCTTCAGAAACTGTTAATGGCAGATTTCAAATAATCAAATATTGACAACAACAACTAGCTCAAGATTTTCCTTATAAAATGGCGGCTTTCCTGGAACATTGCTTAAGAACGTTGTGATCGATCTGCCTTCGCTGGTAAGCTACAGGCTTTGTCTGGACGATGTAGCTGAATTCCGATGTGCTCCTGCGATTCGAAGGACATAAGTCCAACTTATTTATTAAGTTGAAGACATCAATCCCCTTGTTTTCTTTGCATATCTTTGTCGTCTGCATGAACAAGACCCGTATGCAGGTTTTCATAGGTTGGATGAGAGCAAAATGACAATTCATTATATATTGTTTGCAAATGGTGGTGGACCAGAAATAGTGTACATATCAAAATAAGTTTAATTTATTCTCGTTTTTAATCCAGGAGATCTAACGTTTGAAAAAATAAATTTACTTTTAAAACTCTTGGTTTATAATATAAAAATCTATAAATAATTTTATTAATTTTTATATTAAGGCATACACACACTATAGAGATACATGTGGAATAAATAAGAAGAAGAGATAAATATGTACATTTCCTTTTTTTGTTTAACGGCAAAAAGACAGCTACGCTACGTTATAAAAATTACTAATTTATGCATACAGTGGGTCGAAGTTTTGTCGATATACTTGAGTTGAGAGACGAATGCATCTGCAGTGCCCGCCACGAAGACAACTTTGAATTAAACAGTGGATTTTCCGTCAACTTTCATTTATGTCATTTGCGTTTTGCTTGCAAGAGCGTGCAAGTAAACGCATGTGTTAAACTAAAAAGTAAGCAAAATGAATGCCTAGAGTGGCAGTCTGTTAACTTAAAAAAAGAGCAAAAAGTTAATAATGTTCAAACGACTTGGGCGGCATCTGATATCTGTTGATGGGAATTTAGCACAAATGGTGGAGCGTAGCAAAATGACATTCAAAACGAATACGGCATCGAGAATACGCATATCGATATCGATTGCACGTATTGACATCTTAAATGGAAATGTATTCCGAGTAATTTTAAATAAACGGAGCAATTAAAAGATGAAAAGATGAAGAGAATTTTGTTCTTAAAGAAATTCGAGAAAATAAAATCGATTGATCTCTGCGCACGCTTTTATTACATAACCTGTATGTATTCGTTATTGGCGACACCATTCACAAGTCATTTTATTTTTAAACTCTGCATCATTTACGGTGTACGATGTATGTAACACCTAGCAGAACTTAAGATAGCCCCAGCTTTTATTAGCGCAATAGAATGAAAATCATTTTCTGAATCGCTTGGCTCTCTGTCTGTCTACCTCTCTCCCTTTCTGATTTTTTGTCAGTTTATATCTTATGTTCCACATTAAATGTTATGTAAGCATAATAATAAGTTGCAAGTCGTTGTGGTGTGAAATTTGATACACTGTTGTGTTTTGATCAAAGTGTTTAAGGCTTAGCATTAAAAATGTTGCCAATGTATTCTATTTCTTGACGAAAAAAAAAAACATAATAAGAGGAGAGAGCGGTTTTTGCTCCTTTCTCATGTAAGGGTTCTCAGGAAAAC